AACATATGCCACCACTAGTCACCATCTGCTTGCCCACAGAAATCCATATTTAGTAAACTATAGCTGATGTGGAGGTAGTAATCTTTTGTGGGTTGTCAGCTCCTCACCTCCCAACATCCCCTTTACCTTGGCACTATAAGAGGGTTTCGTGAGAATAGTCGCTCTGGTTGCCACATGGTTTTGAGGCAACAGTGTAGTAATGGTGAGGCCGTGGACCATATTTTCATTCTTGCAAACCACTGGTGGTCCACAGACCACAGGTTGGGAATCATTGATCTAAATCGTCTCCACATTGAATGATACAGTTGTGGGACAGGAAGAGGTCCCCACAGTTGGTAGCAGAGGGAACTCTCACAGAAACCCCTTTATAAAATGATATTTCCAGTATAAAATAGGGTAATTAAGAATTGCTGGAAGAAGCAAAGACCACCAGCATTGAAGCGATGGTCCTCCGCCATCAACTCCACTGGACTGGCCACGTTTTGAGGATGTCCGACCACCATCTCCCAAAGCAGTTGCTCTACTCTGAACTCAAGAATGGAAAACCAAATGTTGGTGGACAGGAAAAGAGATTGAAAGACGGGCTCAAAGCCAACCTTAAACACTCTGGCATAGACACTGAGAACTGGGAAGCCCTGGCCCTTGAGCGCTCCAGTTGGAGGTCATCTGTGACCAGCAGTGCTGCAGAATTTGAAGAGGCACGAATGGAGGGCGAAAGAGAGAAACATGCCAAGAGGAAGTCCACGAATCCTTAAGATGGAAATGTCCAAAGGTGACACAAGACTGATAAAACAGCATTGTCCAGATAGTGTAGATGGTTCAAACAACACAATCCCAATAGTCCACCCTTAGTAAACTGAAAACGAGTCCAACACTCAGACCTCCTCCCTCACTTCCCTTTCAAGTACAGGAAATGCACACTTCCAGCATTTATTCAACCAGCTTCCTGTTATACCTGAGCTGTGAATGGAGTCTTTTTGTTTACAAATTGGGACAACTCATTTGTTGTATTAAGATGCTCTCGCCAAAGAGAAAAGGAGGAGATGGTACAGAGAGAAATGACTCACTCTTCCTTTAACAAGCCATATATTATCAGGCGGAGATTCCTACACTGGAACAAGCTTCTTTTCCCAATAGAAATACAAGCTTAGACCTAATCTGCCTTCAGAAGTTGTTGAGCAAAGAGACCCAAGGGGAACATATAGCACTGTTGGAAAACAGCTGAAGGGGGGAAAGTCGAATATGCTTACATGTATTTACATATAATGAACTTCCCACATTCTGTTTTCCACTTATCTCTTGTGTTATTCTGTATCTTCGACCTTGTCCAACTGATACGAGGGGTGTTCATTAAAGATTTCCCCTGACCCACTTCTATTTATCACAAGATGCTGAAACTGCACGTGTGTAATGATATAAGTCTCTATAGGTTACGTGCCACTTTGACCAGGGACTGCTTTGACCAGGGACCTCTTTGACCAGGGACTACATTGAACAGGGACCACATTGACCAGGGACCTCTTTAACCAGAGACCACATGACCAGGGACCTCTTTGACTA